CCACCAGGCAGGCCCCTTCACTTTTCTCCATTCACTCGGCCTGCTTCCTGACTGCGCCAATCATAACAGTTAATCAGCAGTGTCACTCCACATGACAGCCCCCATCATTAGCATATCCAGGTACCTTTTATGCTCTGGTTTGGTTATAGCACCTTTGGGACATGTCTTGCTTTCAGAAACACAAACATACTCAGATTGAGAATCTGAATTTTCCCCTTAAAAAAAGAGTCACTACCAAAATGAATAACGGAAGGAGAGAAAGGGTTAAAAAATATTTGAAGAAATATTGGAATAAAATGTCCCAAATTTGATGAAAAACACTAAACTACACATCTAAGAAGTTTAGTGAACTCTAAGCAGAATAAATTCAGAGATCCACACCCAGAAACACCATAACCAAACTGCTGAAAGTCAAAAGCAAAGAGATTATCTTGAAGGCAACAAGAAAGAAGTAACTTACTCTATGCAAGGGATTCTCACTAAGATTAACAACTGATTTCTCAGGAGAAACCATAGAGGTGAGAAACCAAAACCCACAAAAGAGTTACACAAAGGACACTACAAAATAATACTGAAAGAAATAAAAGAAGACCTAAGTAAATGGCCTCAAACCATAACTGATACTCGTAGACTGGAAGATATAATATAGATAAAGATCCAGACTGTTTTACAGATTCCAGGGAGTAGCTATGCCAATGCCAGCCTGCAGATCAAAAATGGATCCACCAGGGGGCACCAGGAACCACACTGTGCCAAGTCCAATACTCAGTGGTCCAGTCCCCAGTCACCAACCCAGGACAGGACAAGTAGGACCCACCCCTTCCCCTACTGGTCTACCTGCCTTGGTCCTGGGGGGGTTGGGGAGGGAGGGAACACATAACAGTTTCCTCACCACAAGGATTCTTTGTGCTGTCCTTTTATACCCACAGTCGCCACCCCACCTGTGGCTGTTAAAGACAGCAATATCAGAAGCAGTGGGTAGCTTCTTAAACTTCTCACACCCACTGGGGGGACCTAACAGAATGGAGTCCAGGGAGAAGCTGTCCAGAAAATTATGATACATGCCAAATTAAGAACTACCACCCACACTCCCCCACTAACTAATAGCAGCTGCTCCTGTTATTCTATTTTTGCTAGCAGATGCTTTCTATTTATTTTTTTAATATTTATTTATTTATGTATACAAGAAGTGGGGTACAGGCCAAAGGATTCACAAGAGACAGAGTGGGGAGCAGAACAGGCAGACTGACTGAAATACACTGATGAGGGGAGCAGCAGGAGAGACAGGAGAGGTCTGCTGCACCATGTGGGTAGCTCCCCGGCAGGGGATCAAACTCGTGGTTCAGTGGCTGCAGATTGCTTCATAAGTTGTGCCTTAACCCCTTGCGCCACCACCAGGGAGGACCCATATTCTTGCTAGCAAATGCTTTCTAAACCCGGGTCTGAAGCCCTAACATTCTCCAGCGTAGCTAGCAAGTCGCTGGCCCACCAGCTCCTGCTACAATATCCTATGGCTCCCAAACCAACTTCTTCCAGCTTCCCTGGCCTATATCTGGTCTTTCTTCCTCTTCCTAACCTTGAGTTCATTCATTCATGTACTAACTGTGTATCAGCTCCTACAGGAGCCAGCAAGTGGGCTGACAGGATGCTTGTTTATCAGCCTGGCCCAGGCACAATGCCTCCACCATGCCAAGGGCCCTGGGTAGAGCTCACAAAACTCATGGTGCCCTGTGTGTCTGCTTCCCCCTGCTTTCCGTGAGCACCTGAGAAGCAGTACCCATTCTGCCCCCTCTACTCCTCCCACAGCAGGAGACACGACACTTGTGATAGAAGCCCCTTACCTCGCAGTATACCAGGTCCGCGCCATAGTCCAGGGCCAGCAGCCGCATGGGCAGAGTCCCCACCCGAACCATAGGGGCTAAGATGAGTTTGTTGTGGTAGCACAGTGAGAGACTGTTCACAAGCATTCCTCCTCGGCTATCGCCTGAAGGAAGGGAAACATGAGTCAGAAATTCAAAAGGAGAAAACCATTCTTCCGCTCTCCAGGGTAGGTGTGCTTTCTTCCTTCCAACACATGACAGTCTGTTTTCCTTTTCTCTGATCATAAAAATAATACATGTTCATTCATTCATCCAACAGGTATGTATTAAGGGTCTAGTCTGTGCCAATCACTGGGCTAGACTCTTTTGGGATACACTAGAGAACAAAACAGATAAAAATTCCTACTCTGATAGACCTTTCTACTGGGGGGGACATAGACCAAAAACAGTTAGCATGGGTAGGGCTATAGAAAAGAGAAGGGAAAAGAGAGATTGAGGGCCTCCCCAGTGGCGCAGTGGTTGAGCGCTGGGTTGCAAGGCTGCCTGCAGCCTCTGCAGCGCCGGTTCGATCCCTGGCCGCCGGCGAGGGTCCCACATGCAGTGACAGACCTCTCCTGCTGTGCCCGCTGCTCCCCTCAGCAGCGTATTTTGTCAGTCTGCCTGTTCTGTTCCCCACTCTGGCTCTGGTGAATTCTCTCACCCTCTTGCACTTCTGACTGTAACCAGTGCTTGCATAAATAAATAAATCTTTTAAAAAAAAAAACCTTAAGTTGGGAAGTGGAGGCAGGCTTCGATGAGAACAAAGATTTGATTTAGCTAAGTTGGTATCTAGTGGGAGAATGCACAGCAGAAGAAACAGGCAGTGTAAAGGCCCTGGGGCAGGTTTGGTCTGGCGTGTTAGAGGAAGAGCAAGGAGATCAGCACAGCTGGAGCACAGAAGGGAAACAAGAAAGCAACAGACACACCATGTCAGAGTGTGCAGCAGAACATGGTAGTCTGATCCCATAGAGCCTTGTTGGATACTATGGACTTTGTTAGCTCTTCACGAAAGAAGAGCCAAGAAAGGGCTTTAAATAAAAGAGTGCCATCACTGATCAAGGTTTCACTTGGTCATGTGACTGCTGTATTAACAGCAGACTTAGGAGCCAGGATAGATGCAGGGAAACCAGTTAAAGGACTCTTTAGCACCAACGTGAGAGATGATGGTAGTTTGCTGCAAGGAAATTCTTTATTTTCTATCTGAAAATAAGTGGCACATGTAGACCAAATAAAACTGTCAGGTCAGATATCCAAGGAGCTATTTAGCTAAGGAATAAGAAGCTCTGAGTTCTTGAAGAATCATAATAAACTCACAGCATCTTGGAGTATTCATTATATGAACTCCCACCCATCACATCATCAATCAGGAGTCACTGGACCTGCAATACAGACTTTTCAATAACTGAAAACAACCTCTCAAAACAGAGCCAAGTAATTCTAGTTATAACAGCAGTTCTTTATGTCAAATTCAGAATCTGCCCGTGGGTCACCCATGGATTTCAGTTCTGCCATCCGGAATGGTATATACCCCATAGCATACCTCATCTATCTTCCAGATGGCACTTTATCCAAATACATGAGGGCAATTTTGTTCTCCCTAAACTTCTTTTCTTCAACTTCACCATCTTGAATCACTCCTTCCTATGTTTTAGGGAACCCCAAAGTTCTTGACCCCAAGGGCATGACAAACAAAGGCATCAATGTGCCCATTACAGATTCTGGGCATGGGGCAGAGCCAGAGCAAGAGTTTGGCAAATGTGCCTCTCTGAAGTGACAGCAGATGTGATGACCTCAGCCTCTCCGCAGTCCTCATCCTCTCTCCAGGGTTTCTCTACAATGCATGATTGACATTTGGGGCCAGACAATTCTTTTGAGGCTGTTCTGTGCATTATAAGATGTTACAACATCCCTGGCTTCTACCCACTAGCTGCCAGCACCACCTCGTTAGATGGCTCAACTAAAAATGTTTCTGGGCACTAAAAGATTGGGGGACAGGGTGGCAAAAATCACCCTAACTTAAGAACCACTATTCTCTCCAATGGCTCTCTCCTCCACTAGTTAACAACTCTCCAGAAAGAGTACTCATGTATCAAAATGGTATTTGAAATTTTAAAAATATATTTGTAAGTGGTATTTGATAAAACTAAAACACTTTCTGGAAACATGAAAACACCCCCAGATGGTTATCAACGTTTACCTTATCTCCCTGCCCAGGCAATGTGGGGCACAGAAAAGATCTGAGACCCATTTTCCAGATCTGCTCATGAACTACAAATAATGTAGGATTTCCTTGCAACCTGAACATCCGAATTCAAGTAAATTATTCTGCCTGACCAGGGCCATGTGAGACAAACAACATACATGACCATAGGACAGCAGGTCCTGTCTCACTACTACACTTCAAGCATTTTAGGTATCTGACTGGGATGCCAGTTGGGGGGGGGGGGCGCTGGCATTCAAGAGTGTTGAGTTCAGGAGGAGAAGCTGGGAGGAGAAACAAGGGAAAGGGGATTAAACTTCAGCTGAAAAGTAAGGGGAAAAGTGTGAAGAAACCAGTCCGTTGGAAATAAAGCCTAAAAACCTAACCTCCCACTTCACAAGAATGAGCTGAAGGCCACCAGCTAGGCTCTCGGCTCTCCTCAGAGAGGGATGTCTGAGGTGCTATCTGGGACACATGGCTCCAGTCTCGACCGCGGGCCTGACCATTCATTCAGATTCTCCACGGACACTTCTTAGCAAACCTTGCGTGGGCACCACATCTGAGAGAACATCTCCGCACCCTCGCAGTTTTCAGGAGGAGACACGCAAAAGGCACAAGTCATCACAGGAGCTTTGAGGGCGACAAAGGAGAATCACAGGCTACCCCACCCAAATGCCTGAAGCCCTCCGCCCTCCTGGTGCATGAGGCCAGATTCCCCTGGCCACGCGTCGTCGGCACCTGGTCTTGCCTCCATTGCGCGCCCTTCCCCAAAGGTGGCCCGTGTCGCGACGTCGCCATGCCCCGTTCGAGCCCACAGACCTCGCGGCCGCTGAACTCCACAGATCCTCCCTCCTTCCTCGCGGTTCGCCAACTCCGCAGGCCTTACTGAGCCTCACCGGCCACCGTCCGCGAAGCCCCGTCGCGCTCTGACGTCACTACCGTGCGCCTCTCCGACACCAAGCGAACTATGGCCCTAGCAAGGCCGACGCGGCTGCTGTCGCGTGCATCTCGGGTGCTCCTGACGCCTCGACGGGACCTCGCGGCCCGCAATCCCGACGAATCTCTCCCGGTGGTGCGCATCCCGCGGGCTCTGCAGCCGCGGCAGGAACAACGGCAGGGCAGGCGGAGCCCTCGGCGGCCGGTGCTGGTGCGACCCGGTCCTCTGCTGGTCTCGGCGCGGCGACCCGAGTTGAACCAGCCTGCGCGCCTAACGCTGGGCCGCTGGGAGTGCGCGCCGCTCGCTTCACGCGGCTGGAAGAATCGGCGCACGTGCCACGACCACTTCTCCATCGAGCGCGTGCAACGCGAGGCACCGGCGCAACCGAACCTCTCGCGCGAGCGCACCTTCGCGGATCTGGGTCTGGAGCTCCGCGTGCTAAGTGCGCTGAAGGAGGCTGCGCCAGAAGTCGTTCGGCCTACAACGGTGCAGTCGAGCACCATTCCCCCACTGCTTCGTGGCCGTCACGTCCTTTGCGCTGCAGAAACCGGCAGTGGCAAGACTCTGAGCTACCTGCTACCCCTGCTTCAACGACTTTTGGACTGGCCAAACCTGGACTCCTGTCGTATCCCTGCTCCACGAGGTCTGGTCCTTGTGCCTTCCCGAGAATTAGCTGAGCAGGTGCGGGCCGTTGCCCGACCCTTGGGCAGCAACTTGGGCCTCCAGGTGCGGGATCTGGGCGGAGGCCATGGCATAAGTAGGATCAGTCTGCAACTGTCCAAACAGCCTCCAGCAGATGTGCTGGTGGCCACTCCGGGGGCATTGTGGAAGGCCCTAAGGCGTCATATGATCAGCCTGGAGCAGCTCTATTTCTTGGTATTGGATGAGGCAGACACACTGTTGGATGAAAGCTTCCTGGAAATGGTGGAGTATATTTTGGAGAAGAGCCATATAGCAGAAGGCCCAGCTGACTTAGAGGACCCCTTCAATCCCAAAGCTCAGTTAATATTGGTTGGGGCCACATTTCCCGAAGGTGTAAGCCAGCTGCTGAATAAAGTTGCCAGCCCTGAATCCCTAACCACCATCACCAGCTCCAAACTCCACTGCATCATGCCTCATGTCAGACAGACATTTATGAGACTGAAGGGAGCAGAGAAGGTGACTGAGTTGGTGCAGATCCTTAGACACCATGAAAAAGCCAGTAGAACTGGCCCTTCAGGGACTGTTCTGGTGTTCTGTAATACCTCGAGCACTGTAAACTGGCTTGGGTATATTATGGATGACCACAAAATCCAACACCTAAGGCTGCAGGGACAAATGCCAGCCTCAATGAGAGCAGGTATCTTCCAGGGCTTCCAGAATGGGTCCCGAGACATACTTCTCTGCACAGACATAGCCTCTCGGGGCTTGGACAGCACCCAGGTGGAGCTAGTAATCAATTATGATTTCCCCCTCACCCTGCAAGACTACATCCACAGAGCCGGGAGGGTGGGCCGTGTGGGGAGCGAGGTACCAGGCACTGTCATCAGCTTTGTGACCCATCCCTGGGATGTGAGTCTGGTTCAGAAGATTGAGCTGGCAGCTCGCCGGAGAAGAAGCCTTCCAGGACTAGCGTCCTCAGTGAGCGAGCCTTTGCCCTAGCAATCCTGATTTCAACTGGATTAAATGTTATGCCATAACAGGGATTTTTCCCTGAGTCCTGGGTGGGTGAGCACACTTATCAGTAGGATGCACTGGGGTTCTCCATAACCTCCCTGAATATCTAGTGAACTAGCTTCAAAAGGTAAGCTGTCGGCCAGCATTGGAGGGTAAGCCTCTAAGCTTGGCTCTCTAGTCTTTCACATGATTCGTGACAAATAAAGTGGATTTTGACTTTGTATTATGTCATTTCTAACAAGTGATGTTTTCATGGGTCTTCCCCAATAATAATTACCATTGGGGTAGAAGTCACTGGATTCTGAGAAGATTCACACCCTTAACCTAGCGCATCTAGGAAAAAGTTTCCTTCAATTGCTGTTTTAGTTTAACATTTTTATTTCCTGCCCCAAAGCATCTCCATTAATCCCCTCAGAGAAGGAAAAGTGAATGGGATTAACAGTAGAGAGAAGTCTTCTTCACCAATAATGCCTTTGGCAAGCTTGGACACACTTGGTGAAATCTCCTGTCAGGAGAATAAAAGGCAAAGTGACTCCAAAGTATTGGAGTGCCTTCTTTTCTATGTCTTGGTGGAGGAAGAAGAGAGGGGATAAAACTGTTTCCAAAACTGGCAAAATAAGCAGATAGCATCCTCTCAAAATCTCCTTGGTTTCATTCTCTGCACCATTATATAAGTTTTGCCTAAAGTAACAAACACTTGAGAATCAAATACAACATTTCACAAAAAGAATTTAACGATAATTGCACATTGATAAGGACAAGGTTACAGAGAATAAAAATAGGCCCAGGGAGCCTTTGCCAGAACAGAACATGGCACTAAATGTATAACCCTAGCTCTCTTTTCCATATGAAGAAACAGGTTCAGAGGGATAAAAGAACTTGCTCAAGATCACACAGGTACACAGGACAGAATCTGGTTTGTCTGTACCAAGGGTTGTGTTCTTACACCTGCCAGCTTTTCACAAATGTGGTTCTTGCATAAATATCTATATGTCAGTTTTCCTTAAATATCCTTTTTTTACATCTATACCTAGAGTAGTTTAAGTGCAGACTCCTGGGCCCCAAACCTGATCTGGGTACATACATTTTCTCTGGGTTGGCCCAAGAATCCACACACAAGTATCTTTCAGTTGTTTATGGAATCCACAGGTGAGTCTCAAGCTCTCTCAAGATTGACAAATCATTTGTCTGAAGTATAGTGCCTTCCCAAAAGTCCCAGCCAGGTCTTCATGAGACATCAGTACCCCTCCAGATCAGAAGGAGTTCCCAGACAATCTCTCCAGAGGACTGGAGGAAGAACCTGCCAGAACTTCCTCCAGAGCCCTTCCCTTCACACTTTACCTCCTATCTCTCCCCCAAAGCAATTTTCTCTCATTAGGCCTGACTTCATCTTTCCTAACATGTACCACCCTAATTCAAGCATCTTGGGAGTAGAGAGAAGATGCTAGGGTTGTCCACCCTCCAAAATGGCAGCCCAGCAGTCTCTGTCTTCTGGGCACATCCCCTGGGACACAGCAGCCCCAGTACACAAATGTCCTCAGCAATAGGGACTACTCTCCCCATGGAAGGTTATGACCAGGAACCACACTGGCCAAAGGCTGCCCCAACAAGCCTGGTCTAAGAGCTGAGGCAGATTTGTCTCTTTCTCCTCTGAGTAGCACCGAATCATCTGTTACTAACACCTCTTCATAGTATGGACCATGCTTTTCACCTTTACCTGGCTGCTGCTGAGCTGACAGCCTACCCTTTCATGGGGGGCGGGGGGCAGGGAGGATGTCAGAACTGTAAATTAGGTTGTTCTTTTTATAGTCATGAAGAATTTGTTTTGAATTTCATACTAAAATGACCCCACTCCCACTTTAGTCACAAGGGACACTCGTTTTGCCCTGGAGCACCTTGAACATCTCTCCCACTGTCCCTTTGAAATGTGACGCACTGCTCCTCACACTGTCATCAGCTACGAATCAAAACCCCCTTGGGAAGCCCCACCACTGAGCACAACACCTCCCCACTGCCTGCCTAGCTCCAGGTAGGCCCCGAACCTCTTGGTTCTTTGAGTCCATGGTAACAAAATACTGAGGGTTTTACGAATTTGCATTTGCGATAAAGAAGAGCTTGTCTGTTTTTATCCTCGAATAGAATGTTTTCCCTCCTTTCCATGTGTCCAAATCTTCCTGTCCTTCTGGCCCACCTCCAAGGCACCCTCCCTGATCCCCCAGTCCACACAGATCTCTGCCTCTCCAACTGTTAATACATAGTGCCTGACAACGTAGCTGTGTCAGGTAGTCCTGCCTCTCAAGCCAGTCTCAGAATGTGGGTTTCTCTTGCCCTCCTGGGAACACTGACTGTGCTAAGCCCATAGGTATGTTTCACAAGGAATGGCTAGGTGTCAGGGCCCGGGCAGGATGCGCCTCTGCATCCACCCTACTGTCCACAAAACCTCAAAAGCCTGAGGCCTGCCCCTCAGGTTCCTTATGTGACCTCACAGACTAATGATGACCTCACAGGTTGCATCACTGTTTCCATGGCAGGGTAACTACAGAAACGTGGTACTCTGGGGAAGCTTTCTACCAGTTCTCTACGAGACACCAATCAGTTTGGTTTCCTGAGAGAGAATGTCTGACCGGATCTTCTATATTCACTCTAACTTGTCCTCAGTCCCCTGGGAGGGCAACACAGCAGGTAGGCCTAGGCCGGGCATCTGCACAAGAGGCATCGATGTATATACCACCTCATATGGCCTCCAAAACTCTGAACTGCCCCAGCTATCACCAATGGCCTTCGGACACAGACCACAGTGGCCGCTCACTGCTGAGAGCAAGTGAAATGGTACCTCTGGGCAAGTGTTCAGGAAGGTTCTGATCTTTATAAATATCGCCTTTCATTTTGGGCGACTACGTGCTTCCACTGAGACCCTTTCCCCACGACCTCAGTAAAAGCCAAGTGCGTTTTTTGTTGGCAAGTGATAAATAGAGCAGTTGGAGGAAGAACTATCGAGAACCACTCATGAACCTCAGCTTCAAACCCACACACCTTTATCCCACTGTCATGCAGACATCCGCCTGAGTGCCCTCAGAAACATCCCTGTCTGAGAAGCCGAGTAGTGGGGAAAGGGGTGTCGCACGGATGGGAAGTGTGGAGGAGGCACGCGGATTGAGGAAGTGATGGCGAGACTGCAGGTCTGAGGAAATAGTGTCTCGGAGTTCGGGTTGCTCTGAGACTTGGTGGCTGGAAACTGACCCTTCACTGCACCCCAGGGTCACTCCGGTGTCTGGCCTTTCCCTCATCTATCTAGCTCAGAGTATGAGAGGCCCGGAGTTCACTGTGGCTGAACAGGCAGGATGAAGGGGCTCAAGAGAAGTCACCGAGATGGGATGGGGGCTTAATCATGTATATTAGATTCTTTTCCAAAAACTGAAGGCATTTCCAACCTCAAAAGTGACACAGACCTTAAAAAATGTCACTCTGTTGTGGGAGAGATGAAGGGGTTTCTGATTGTAATTATTTGGGGATTGTTTTCTCTGGGAATAGAAAACAGACTTTCTGAGGTACAGCTGACAGGCTCCACAGGCTGGCTTTGTAGCCAACATCCCTTCTCCAAGAGACCCCTACATGGTTTAGATGCCAAGGAGGGCTTCAGGCAGAAATAGGGAGAGACATGAGACAGGGGAGGTCCTGGGAGGGCGCACTGTACAGTAAAAATGACTAGGCCCTTTTGATTTTCTCTTTAGCAGCGGTGGCGCCAGCTTCTCCCCCTACACCTGGCCACTACCATGTCCTCTACCGAGGGTGTGGAGAAACCCAGGTGGGCTGGCACGGGGAGACATACTGCCTGGTTGGAGGCTACCGGGCCTATGGAGATGCGCCTGTGGCCACACCAGTAAAGGTGGAAGCACAGAAGCCAGTCCCTAACCGCGCTCCCAAGAGGCGTCGGTCTCTGGCAGAGTCAGATAATGATCTCGGTTGCTCCCGCCCCAAAATTCGACGATTGCAGTATGATGGCAGGAGGCTGACCCCACAGAAGCTCGCCGGCTGAGCCACTCTGTAAAGAGGACAGCTAACACCTCTTCCCACAGTGACCCACCCCCCACACTGTCCACTACCTGAGATTAGAAACTCAGCCATTCCGTGTGTGCCTTCCTCAGCCAGGAGTCTCCTTCCATGCTAAGTGGCCACGGAAAGGAGCTTCAGAAGCTGAGGTATCAAGTGAGAGGCTGCTTTGAACACCCCAGGGCAGACTGGACTGAAAGAAAGCCTGATGCTGCTGGGCTCAATCCTCTAGAGTCCCTCCTCGGGCAGAGGGAAGAAAAGTCCGCACAGGGGATCCGGGAGCAGGAAGCAGGTGCGGAGTGGCCTTCACAAGGGCCTAGCCTACCAAGTGGGCTCCTGTGGCTGCCCAGGGAGCCTCCTGGCTGGAGTCTGAGGAGGCAGGAGAGAGAGCCAGGACAACCTCCTGGAGGAGGAACAGGATGGAGAGAGTCAAGCAGCACCCTACCTGAGACTGACACGTACCTTTTTTTTCCCAGTCCTTTCTGGCCCCAATGGGGTCTCTTAATGCTCAATAAAACCAGTTTCTGTTTAACAGCATCTGACTTGAAATGCAGCTTCTTCAAGGCCAACCCCAAATCTGCCTGTTCCCTTGAATTTCATTCACACAAGGGGTAGCTGAGCCGCTAGACCTTCTAGACAACCTTTTGGGGGTCCTCTAAGTCCTCAAAAAAAGACTTTGGGTGCAGCTTCTAACTCTGTGGTTCTTCCAATGACACCTCTGCAAATTGGGGCAGGACAGGCAGGTTCTTTAAGAAATGCAGAGCCTGGGTCCTCCCTTGTGGTGTAGGGGTTAAGTCTCAGTGCTATCATGTTATTACAGCTGCAGCCTGAGTTCGATCCCGGGCCAGGGAGGTGACCCACATGGTGCAGTAGACCTCTTCTGTCTCACCTGCTGCTCCCCTCAGCAGTGTATTTCAGTAGATCTGCCTGTTCTGCTCTCCAGTCTGTGTCTAGGGAATCCTCTCACCCCCACACCTCTGGTCCTGGTCCACACTCCAATTCTTCTACACATAAATAAGTAAATTTTTTTTAAAAAAAGGAAAGAAACACAGAGCCTGACAATGTGGATGGATCTTGTGATGACGCCAAATGAAATAAGTGCGCAACGGTTACCAGATGGCCTCACTCATTTGTGAAACATAAAAAACCCATTTGTGAAATACAAACAGCCCAGAGGAACAATCTGGCAAAACACAACAAAAATAATTCTAGACTCTGTAAACTAGGTGGTGATTACCAGATGGGAGGGAGGAAGGCACATAGGGGCTCATGTTACAGGGCTGGGCCTGGAAGCTCTGGCGAGGGAGAGTGAAGCCTGGCACACAGGGAGGTGCGAAGCTATTCTCCCCAAAAGATAGTTTGTTAAACCAGGAAGCACAGAGGGTTCTAGGGAAGGGAGTTCTATGAGCTGTGTGTCGTGTGTTGCTGCAGAAAGAAGACAGGTCAGATCGGCTGCAGAGATGAGCAGGCTGGGTGGAGCAGAGAAGACAGCAAGTCTGAACTTGAGACTCAATGAGCGATCACGTAGGCCACACAGCAGAGGGTGGTTTGAACAGGGCTGCCTCCTGGCACCTGGTGCCCCCATAGCCTAACCTTCTGTGTACCAGCACGTGAGACAGATAACTAGAGTCCTGTCCATCCCCCTCACTGCACACCCCAGCAGGCCAGCCCCAGAGGGTGATCAGTAAAGGTTGTCTGGACAAATGGAGGGATGGAAAGAATCCAAGGCCTCTCCTGATGAGAGAGGCAGCAGCCAAACTGGAAGGTCCAAGAAAGTCCATCTGACTTGACCAGGAAGGCATCAATGCCATCATTTGCCTGCCCAGCAGGTGGTCTCCCCACACCTGGATTCCCCCTCAGCAGGTTCAAAGAAGATTCTCTCCCAGGACCAGTGGGCTACTCTCCCTGCCACTGCTGGCTTCCCCAGGTGGCTTTGTGTCCCATGAATCCTCACCAAAGCTGGGGTCAGTTCAGCCCACCCTGGCAAGCCTGGCAGGAAAAACAGGAGATGAGAGGGCATGTGCAGCCACAGACAGGGCAGACCCAATCAAGTAGCTGACCGGCATTCTCCACAGCTCTGCTCCTTCAGGGCATGGAGAACCCACAGACTTTGGACAGGGCTGGACTGGGTCCCAGAGAGCCCCAAACAACAGAGTACATTTCACCTGCACAATCTGTTCTATCATCTTCTCGGGCTATGTCCAATTCTGGAATCTTCTTGCCCAGCATTCTGGATTTGGATTCAGAGAGGTCTCTAGACAGAGGTGTACAGAGGTCAAGAAAGGGCATCTGTCTATTAAAATCTACTTTCACACCTGAAACAGACACAGAGGGAGAACAGAATTAGGGGGAGCAAAGCAGGAAAAATCTGGGGTCAAAGGAATTTTGGTTTCAGATTCCAGCTCCAGATGCCAGGTCTTGGTTATGAAAGTTAAGTTCACCTGGTTGAACCTCAATTTTCTCACTAGAAAATGAAGTTGGTAAGAAACTACCTTGTGGGAGCCTCTGAGGACAGATGGATTAAGTCCATCAAGCTGGCAGCGCTGTGCAGGGCTCACAGTAGCTCTGGCTGCTCTGCCATGTCACCACTGCTGTTACCACTCTTGTTTCCTGAAGGATGGAGAACAGCAGCCTCCTGAGCTCCAAGCCAACTGCCTCTTCAATAAATGTAGGTTGAGGGGTCTCCCTGGTGGCACAAAGAGTTAAGTCTCAGCACTTTGAAGCTATCCACAGCCACTGCAGCACGAGTTCGATCTCTGACCAGGGAGATACCCACATGGCGCAGCAGACCGCTCCTGGCTCACCCACTGCTCCCCTCAGCAGTGTATTTCAGTAGATCTGCCTGTTCTGTTCCCCACTCTGTCTCTGGTGAATGCTCTCATCCCCCGCACCTCTGGCCTGTACCCCAGCTCTTGTATGCTCGGGGGACCTACTCTACTGGATCATCCTCGCTGCCTAAAATCAGGCAGAACCCGATGGCAAGAGGATCCCACTGGTCACTCATTTCCATCACAAAGCAGCCCAGGACTGCTGGACTGAGAGGCTGGCAAGAGTGTGGAGGCAAAGCATAGGGATTAAGAAGGCTGGAGGTGGGAGACTGAGATACATTCGTGGTGACTGCAACTCCAGGCATCAAAGATGGCTGCCATTTGAGCGAGGAGAATGTGCTCACTGTTCACCATGCAGGAACGGGAGCCTCAGTTTTGTGACTGGAGGATGTGTGCCCATGGCAGCCAGATTGTCTTCTGGCTGGGGAGACTCCTGTTTCTGACTCAGTCATCATGGCAGCAGAAACAGAGCAACATCCTGAAAGCAGGAGGAGCTTCATGGGTCCAGGACCAAGGAGCCCTGAACAGAACTGACCATCACCTGGGAAACACTAGATAACGAAAAAGCTCTCTTGCTCTCTGACCACATGAGGTGGCCTGTGCATCTATGACTCAACCTGACTTCTTCCTTCCCTACGCAGTCTTGCAATATATTGGGGGTCAGTGGGGGGTAGTCTGAATGCCGCAGCTTGGTCTCAGGCAAAGCCTCTTCCTACCACTGCCTCCTCTGCAGCTCTTGATTTATGCATACACTGCATAGAGGTGAGAAATTTTTTAAGATTTATTTATTTATGCATATAAGAACTGGGTTACAGGCCAGAAGGGTGGGGGGAGAGGATTCACCAGAGACAGAATAGGGAGCAGAACAGGCATATTGAATGAAATACACTGCTGAGGGGAGTAGTGGGTGAGTCAGGAGAGGTCTGCTGTGCCATGTGGGTAGCTCCCTGGCTGGGGATCGAACTCGTGATGCAGTAGCTACAGATAGTTTTCATACTGCTGTGTCTTAACCCTGTGTCAGGGAGGCTGGAAGTGAGGAATTAGAAGAGAAGTTGCTTGCTCATTTGGCACTCTCTGGTGGCAAGTGTCCTGTGCTGACCCTGCCTGAACAGTCCCACCAGTTGGAGGTTGGGGGAATAGCATGTACCAAGGCCCAGTGGCAGCAGGCAGCACATGACTGGTGTGGCCAGAGTTTAGAGGTCAAGGGATTTGTACTCTTTACTGAGATTAGGGAGGCCAGTGAAAAGACACCCGGGACCTTAAAGCCAAATAAAGAAAACTGGTGTATCCTAAGAACAATGAAAACCCCTAGAAAAACTTTAGGCAAGAGCATATCGAATTTTTTTTTCAAAGAGGGATAGCATGGCTACTCTATGGGGAATGGACTGGAAGGAGGGACTCCAGCAGGAGGTGAGAGATGAAAATGGCCTGTAATAAGGAAGAAACGGGGGGAAAAGGAGAAGAAATGTACCTGGGAGAAGTCTGGAGGTTGATTTAGAGAAGCACAGAAAGGGAAGAAGCAGGCAGAAGGAAGAAAGCGTCATGGATGACATTCTCGTCAACTCTGGAGCCAGACCTTCGTCCATTGCTAGCACCTGGATAACTTGTCATATCCTCTATCCCCAAAGTGCCCCTGTGTCCAGGTCTGTCCACTTACGTTGTGTGTGGTGGGGGGAGGTCCTGGACAATAAGGTTTCAGCACAGAGCACAGAGAGTTGACATTAGGTGACATAAAGAGGCAAACAGCCCACCCTGCTGACTAAAAGCTGCTCACCTCTTGGGTGTGAGTGTTAATGCCCTTGGGTGTGTAAGGGTGTGAATCTGGGCACATGTTTCTGTGACTGACTTCTTTGTAAGATGATCTCAAGGCCATGGCCAACAGTGCTGGCCTGTTTAAGGACTGCACTTGATGTCACAGAAAACTGGCTGCCTCAAGAATCTGCCCCAGACCAGGTACCCACCCTCTCTGGCTCAACAAGCCTGTCTCTGGGGGGCTAGAATCAACATCTGACCCATGCCGCAAGGCTTTAAAAAAAAACAAACAAAAAAACTCAAAAGGCTAAATTCTCCCTCTCATTCCTCTGTCATCAGCTGTTTTTATTTGTCTAAACTTCCTCCATCTTTTCCCTGTTTTTCACAACCCCTCTTCCCTGGAAGCTATTGAAAGTGAAATAGACAAACTGCTTATTTCCCAAACCCACTTTTTTGGCCCAGAGACAAAGAGTTCCTTCTCCCCTACTTGGCTGTAAACATGGGTGGGTGTAAGTGGAGGCTGCTGACAGGGGTGTGTGGTGGGGGGATGGAGCCACCCAGGGCAGGGACTATTCTCTGAAGGCAGAGAGGCCTAGGCACTCACACTCTGAAGAGAGGCTGGGAGACAACCCTCCTGCTCTCACTGGCAGGGAAGAGTCCGGCCACCTGCACAGCATCATGGGTTTGTCCCACCTGGCCAGCAGGATCCCATCAAGCACCCAATCCCTCACATATGCCCAGGGCCTCCAGTGCCTCTCCCAGAGTTTTACTTATTTCCTTTTCTGGGGCCACCAGTTCTCAGACTTAGGTTGCTGCCCCTGCGCTCATCAATCTAGCCAACTGGGAAAGTTTCCAAAGGTGGAGCAGCTCCACGGAGCACCAAAGTTTTTTACAAAGTTAAGAGACAGATGTTGAGATGAAGGAGTTTGGGCACAGAGCCTGGAGTCTCCGGGAGGAGGGGATTCTGTGAGAAAGGACATTCCTGTGTGTGTTGGGGGATGGGGGATTCCTGAAGGAGCAGCTACTTGAGGGCCTCAGGCTGGGAATGGGTGGGGTTTTCTGAATAAGGACTGGAACTCAACCCTAGACTTTTCTGGGAGGGCTGAACTCACAGGACCTACTACACAAGGCGCGTGTAGTCGCAGATCCCAGATGCCAGGCTTTTCCTTAGGACCCAGACTTCTGGCCTCAGTGTGGCCTGGGCCTCCACAGTGAGGTAGGAGGGATCCTGGCCAGCAGGTCAGCAGGCAGCTCTGGGTGGAAGGTTGCTGGGGGTCTGGAAATAGCTTCATTTCCTTGCAATGAGATAGCCTACTGTCTGCGTTCCTGCTCTGTGGAGGAAGGTTTCTTTTTTTTTTTTTTAAAGATTTATTTATTTATGCATAAAAGAACTGGGGTACAGGCAAGAGGGGTGTGGGTGTGGGTGTGTGTTAGAGAGAGAGAGAGAGAGAGGATTCACCAGAGACAGAGTGGGGAACAGAACAGGCAGACTGGCTGAAATACACTGCTGAGGGGAGCAGTGGGTGAGACAGCAGAGGTCTGCTGCGGCATGTGGGTTTCTCCCTGGCTGGGGGATCGAACTCATGCTGCAGAGGCTGTGGACAGCCTCACAGCGCTGTGCTTAACCCCTGTCGCCACCAGGGAGGCCCAAGGAAGGTTTTTTGACCCTCCCCAGATGCTTGCTCAATTCACACCCTAATATCCCTGTTAGAGGGTGTTGGTGGGGAACAGCAGCTTCTGAGGTGAGGGCCCTTTCCTGAGGCGACAAGGGGAAGATTCGGGTGGGGAGGCTGCTCCTCACAGTTCCTGGCTCCCCGCTGGCGTCCCAGGAGCTGGGCCGGGAGTGAGGCAGGGGAGCAGGTCAGAGGGCGTGGGCCCCTTCCAAAAAGCTGACTCCCCGTTTCCAGAGACCGTCTCCTCCCCGATACCTACCACGCAGGGCCCGGCGGCGGGACACCGGGGTCGGGGGGCGCAGGCCACAGAGTCAGGCGCCCCGGGCGGTCTCTCTCGTGAAGCGAGGCTGGGGGCCGGGCGGCGCGGGGCGGGGCCGCGGGGAGCGCGAGGCCAGGCGGAGGCCGCGGAGGCCCGCCGGCCCGGCGGGGGCGCCCTGTGCTCCGAGGCCGAGGGCCGGGCGCCCCCCGGCGGCCGCGTGGCGCGGCGTCACGGATTCCTCCGCGTGAGACGCCGCGTCGGGGACTCCAGGCCCGTCGTGAGGCGAAGCCCCAGCGTCTGAGGCGTCGACTGTCGGGCTCCCCGCCGCCATCCGGCCCTTGCTCGCCCCTCTCAGGCTCTCGGAGCGGCCCCTGCGTCGGCCCGCCCCGCCCCGGCATGCGCCCCTCGGGCCTCGACGGCCCCCGCGCCTTCCGGCGGCCTCTGCTGCTGCTGCTGCTGCTGCTCCTGCCGTCGCCGCCGGTAGCCCGCGCCCAGGGCACGTCGGGCGCCCCCAGCGCCCCGACCACTCCGGGCGCCCCCAGCGCCCCGACCGCGCTGAGTAACCCCAGCGTCCCCAGCCCCTCGACCACACTGGAGGCCCCCGGCACCCCGGTCACGCTAGGTACCCCCAGCGCCGCGAGTCTGCTGGAGCGTGCGCGGACCCTCATGCGGAACTTCCCGCTCGTGGACGGGTGCGTAAGTGGGGGGGCCCTTTGCAGTCTGAGCTCACCCCTCGACAAGGGGGGGGCAAACACGCAGAATTAGTGGGAAGGTTTCCCCCCACTGCCTCTCCCGTGATCCAGGGGTGCCTTTCCCCTCTATTACCCTTTTCCTGGTAGGAACTCCCCAACTCCCAGGGGTCCCCAACTCTAGGGGTCTGTTCCAGTTGATTGGGGTTTTGTGGGATGGGGTCCCCCAGGCTCATCCAGGTCAGGCAGCCTGCCCTGCCTGATCCCGAGGCCTAAGAAAAACGCTTCCCTTTGCCCCTGGACTGATCCTGCCTTGGCCTTCCTCCAGCCACAATGACATCGCCCTGGTCCTGCGGCAGTTTTACTACAATAGGCTACAGAATGTGAACCTGCGAAATTTCAGCGATGGCCAGACCAACCTGGACAGACTCAGAGACGGTCTCGTGGGTGCCCAGGTACGACAGGGACACACAGGGTGCCACAGCATGGCTGCTGGGGCAGGTGGGGGCCCTGGAGACACCACAAGTTAGTCTTATGGGAACTCAGGTTACCATAGTGATGCCAAAAGTGCCAGAAGGGGGCTGAGGGGCCACAGTAAGCCAGCTTGGTGGGCATCCAGATGCCTCAGAACAAGCGGGTGTTGCATGTGACAGCCGGACCCACTGGGTACTATGTCAGCTGTGGAGGCTATGAGAAGCCCAGGGAGCTCCAAGCTGCCCCTATCCAACCCCTGAACTTTTCCCAGTTCTGGTCAGCCTACGTCCCCTGCCCGACCCAGGACCGGGATGCCCTGCTCCTCACCCTGGAGCAGATCGACCTCATCCATCGCATGTGCGCCTCCTACCCTGAGCTGGAGCTTGTGACCTCAGTTAAGGGTAGGTGGACTGGGGGGGGTGGGCTGGTGAGGGGCATTAGGGACTTGGTTGAGTTGCCCCAGCCTCTGAAAGTGATTTTTTCATCTACCTGCCCCCAGCTCTTAACAGTACCCAGAAGTTGGCTTGCCTCATTGGTGTAGAGGGCGGCCACTCGCTGGACAGTAGCCTCTCCATCCTGCGGACCTTCTATATGTTGGGTGTGCGCTACCTGACACTCACCCACACCTGCAACACGCCGTGGTGAGCACAGTGCAGGTGGTCTGGGCCCACTGAGGCAGAGATCTGCCCCAGATCACACAGCATCCAGACCACACTTTATCCCTGGGATCTAGTGCTGATGCTGGAGTGGGGAGGGGAGCTGGGGTTCAAAGAGCAAGACTGGATCCCTAGTGGGGCATCCTCCTACTGCCAGGCACAGCCCAGCTTGAGTCCTGCTCTTGCTCTGGGGGTTGCAGGGATAAAGGGGTTTGGTAGTACCTCTTGGTTCTTGTGGACAAGTTATAGCTTCCCGATCACTCTGCAGGGCAGAGAGCTCAACTAAGGGCATCCACGCCTTCTACAGTAATGTCAGTGGGCTGACCAGCTTTGGTGAGGTAAGGACCCTGGTCCCATACCCTGCTCCACATGAATGTACACGCCCTGCATATGTGCACCCCTGATGTCTTCATATGTACAAGAATGTACACGCCCTGCATATGGTGCACGCCCTGCATATGTGCACCCCTGATGTCTTCTCTTCAACCTGTGTCTGCAGAAGGTTGTGGCAGAAATGAACCGCCTGGGCATGATGGTAGACTTATCCCATGTGTCGGACACAGTGGCACGACGGGCCTTGGAAGTGTCACAAGCACCTGTGATCTTCTCCCACTCAGCTGCCCGGGCAGTGTGTGAGAACTCCCGGAATGTTCCTGATGAGATCCTGCAGCTTCTGGTGAGACTGCCCTAGCCTAGCCCTCAAATCTACAGTGAGAGGTTGGAACCAGGAGCCCTTGAACCCGAGCCCCTGCTCCTTTGATTTTCTCACACCTGAACATTTTCAACTCCACAAGCCTACAGCCCCTAAATGTTTGTACCCCATAAACCCAGGGCCAAGACACCTCCATCCAAACCAGGACTGAGACTCCTCCATTCACAAACCCAAAGAGAATGCCCTCCTCACAGGGGCCCAGAGGTGAACAGGCAGGTGGTCGTGCTGGGGGGGCCAAGCTGAGTGTCCATTTGTTCACCCCTGCAGAAGAACAATGGTGGTATCGTGATGGTATCCTTGTCCGTGGGGGTGCTGCAGTGCAACCCGTTAGCCAACGTGTCCACCGTGGCAGGTAAACCCTACTGTGGGCTTCTGACCAGCTCTGAGTTAGACCAGGGGCTTTGTGGAAGCCTCAGAACAGCCCCTATGATTAGACCCAGCAGTTGGCACAGCTCTCCCAAACCCAGTGTTAGATGGTACACAGCCCCTTTGTGCCAGGTGGAACTGGAGCCATCAGTTGGACATTGGGGGGCATAGACAGAGAGGTCAGAAGCCAACCATCTGTGCCATTGTAGGGTTTCCCAAAGTGTCCCTGCCTCTAGCCAAGGAATTGGGAGCTCTTTAAGTTTCTGGGACTGTGATCTTTGTCACTCTCAATCTCCACTTCCATGGAAAGGAACCCCCATAGTTCTCAAAAGAACGGGAGGCTAGGTGAATGCTACATGGGAAATGGCCCGAATAGGTGGCTCTGCAGTTTGTTAACTCTAAATTCCAATCCAGAGCCAGATGACACCACTTCTGATCAAACTTCAGGACCCTTAAGTTGGCACACTAGGTGCCTAAGGCTACAAGGAGGGGAATGGGCACAGTCAGTCTCCATGCCCACGCCTGCCCTGGAAATTACCTCACTAGTGACTTTCCATCCCCTAGATCACTTTGACCACATCCGGGCAGTCATTGGATCCAAGTTCATCGGGATTGGTGGAGATTATGATGGAGCTGGCGAGTGAGTGTTCCATGGAGTTCATTTGGGACTGGGGCAGCAGTGGGGCTTTCACAGTCACATGCCCACCACATGTGTTCCTCGTGTCCCCCAGGCCTTGACCATAGCCTTGGGTCTGCTGGGTCACCCAGCATCTCCCCACTCCCAGGGTCTAGGTCCTGGGCTCTCCCGTCTCCTTTCCTCTCCTGGGTCATCATATTCAGCTAAGCCCCCAGAGAGATCTGTCCAACAGGAGCAGTGGTAAAAGACCCATTGCTTCAGAGCATACTCTTAGCAAGATCTGGTGTGGGCTCACCATCTTCTCTGCCTGCAGCTAGGTCTGTGCACGCAGGAGGTCAGCCCAGTTCTTGAAATGGTTTTCTTTTTTTTTTTAATAAAGGAAATATTTGCACTCAGTGAAAGGCATAGATTTTTTTTAAAAGATTTATTTTTATTTATGCATACAAGAACTGGGGTACAGGCCAGATGTGTGGGAGGGTAAGAGGATTCACCAGAGACAGAGCAGGGAACAGAACAGGCAGACTGACTGACATACACTGCTGAGGGGAGCAGAGGGCGAGACAGGAGAGGTCTGCCCCACCATGTGGGTATGTCCGAGGCCGGCTGGGATCGAACCCACACTGCAGAGGCTGCAGACAGCTTCACAGTGCTACACTCAACCGCCTGCACCACCAGGGAGGCCCAGATGTTTGTTTGTTTTTTTTTAAAGGATTTATTTATGCATACAAGAACTGGGGTGTAGGCCAGAGGTGCAGGGGGATAAGAGGATTCACCAGTGGGCCTCCCCTGGTGGCGCAGCGGTTGAGCGCTGGGCTGCGAAGCTGCCTGCAGCCTCCACAGCACTGGTTCGATCCCCGGCCGCCTGCGAGGGTCCCACATGGTGCGACAGACCTCTCCTGCCACGCCCGCTGCTCCCCTCAGCAGTGTATTTCGCCGTTCTGCCTGTTCTGTTCCCTGCTCTGGCTCTGGTGAATTCTCTCACCCTCCCACTCTTCTGACTATGCCCAGTGTTTGTATAAATAAATAAATAAATCTTAAAAAAAAAAAAAAAAGAAAGAAAGAAAAGAGGATTCACCAGAGACAGAGTGGGGAGCTGAAAAGGCAGACTAACTGAAATACACTACTGAGGGGAGCAGCAGGAGAGACAGGAGAGATTTGCTGCGCCATATGTGGGTTAGTTCGATCTCATATGTGGGCTCGAACTCATGTTGCAGTGGCTAGCAATACCTTGATAGCACTGTGACTTTAACCCCTGCACCACCATTGAGGCCTGAAAGGCATTGATCTTAATACAATTCAGTGAGTTTTGATAGATACTAGGGAGATTTAGGGGCCCTCGAAAGGATGAAGAACAGGGGTGAGTCATTTACTCTCTCCCAAGTCTCCATTTCCCCTATTTGACCTGGGCTGGACCTATATGTGGGCCTATATGTGGACCCTGGACACATAAGGGACTGTGGTTCTGAGTCAGGACCAGGCAACAGGTGAACAGGTATGAGACCCAAAGGCTAACAGACTGTTGGCCACAGGTTCCCAGAGGGGCTGGAGGATGTGTCCACGTACCCGGTTCTGATAGCAGAGTTATTGAGGCGTGGCTGGAGCGAGGAAGAGCTTCAAGGCGTCCTCCGAGGAAACCTGCTACGAGTCTTTCAACAGGTGGAACAGGTATGCTGGGCTGGGCTCAGGTAGTTCAGATCCCCCTGTCTGGTAAGTGGGCTCTATGGAGCTGCTGCCCAACGATTGTTGCCTGCAGGTCCGGGAGGAAAAGAGTGGACAAAGCCCGTTAGAGGATGAATTCCCTTGGACAGATGAACAGCTGGAAAATCCTTGTCGCTCCATCCTCCCCAGTCAGCCTCGGAGGCAGTATATGGTTCCAGAGCAGAAACTAACCAAGACACCCAGTTTGTCAACTAAGTGGTCATTCTCAAAATCCTCCCCTCACCTGGCCCCAGGCCTTGCAGTGATGGCCACCTTCCAAGTTCTCATTGTGTGGCTGCGGTGATCCAGTTATCCTGCCATAGGTCCCTGTGGCAGCTCTGCATACCACACACAGTCCTTCTGTTGTGCAATCACAAACATTTCCTGAAAATAAATATTTTAGACATAAAATTAAGTGTGAGTGTCCTCTGGGGTGAGGTCTGGTGGCACAGGTACCCAATGCTGGTGCTTGGTGGTAGGTCACAGAGTTCAGCCACCAGTTATTCCGTGAAGACCTGTTGGCAGTGACCTGAGGAGGCCCTGTTTACTGGACTCAACACTGGATGAATACAGTGGGTGACTGTAGCTGATAGAGGGTGAACCCTATTCTGAGTTCCTTCTAAATAGCTCACCTCAATCCACATCCAGACCCACTGACCACCACCTGGAGATTATTCAGGGAATTCTGGTCCAGATTCCCAAGAAGGGAACCTGCCTGTCACAAATGACCTTTGTTCCCATTTGGGCAGAGCCCAGGTCACACAATGACCAGGAACCTCCAATGGCTCTGTTGCCCTGCATATGGGCCTTCATCTCCCCTCTCCCCAGGGACACAAATTACTTAGACAACCACCCTATCTCATCCCCAGGTCATTGATGATAACAACTGCATAAGTAAGCACTAAAAATAAGAGTTAATACAAATAAAAATAGCTAATAATAAATAACAATAACACATGATGGCTAATAAAAATTAAGAGTTGGGCCTCCCTGGTGGCGCAGGCAGTTGAGCACAGTGCTGTGAAGCTGTCCGCAGCCTCTGCAGTGCTGGTTCAATCCCTGTAGTCCTCGGAGCAACCCACTTGGCGAGCAGACCTCTCCTATCTCGCCTGCTGCTCCCCTCAGCAGTGTATTTCATCAGTCTGCCTGTTCTGCTCCCCACTCTGTCTCTGGTGAATCCTCTCACCTGCCCATGCATCTGGCCTGTATCCCCACTCTTGTATAAATAAAATAAATCTTTTTAAAAATAAAATAAAAATGAAGAGTTAAGGGCCTCCCTGGTGGCGCAGCAGGTTGAGCGCAGCGTTGTGAGGCTGTTTGCAGCCTCTGCAGTGTGGGTTCGATTCCTAGCAGGCTAGGGAGATTCCCACATGGCGCGGCAGACCTCTCCTGTCGTGCCCAATGCTCTCCTCAGCAGTGTATTTCTTTTTTTTTTTTAATAGAGGCATGTTTTATTTATTTATTTGTTTGTTCGTTTGTTTTGTTTATACAAGCACTGGGTACAGTCAGAAGCGCGGGAGGGTGAGAGAATTCACCAGAGCCAGAGCGGGGAGCAGAGCAGGCAGAAGGACCGAAGCACACTGCGGAGGGTAGCAGCGGGCGGCAGGAGAGGTCTGCGCGCCATGTGGGACCCTCCTCTGGTGGCCGGGGAGCAGCCGGGAATCGAACCAGCGCCGCAGAGGCTGCGGGCAGCTTCGCAACCCAGTGCTCAACCGCTGCGCCACCGGGGAGGCCCTCAGCAGTGTATTTCAGTCAGTCTGCCTATTCTACTCCCCGCTCTGTCTCTGGTGAATCCTCTCACCCTCCTGCACCTCTGGCCCGTACCCCAGCTCTTGTATAAAAATAAATAAATCTTGGGCCTCCCTGGTGGTGCAAGGGGTTAAGCACAGCACTGTAAAGCAATCTGCAGCCTCTGCAGCACGAATTCAATCCCCTGCCAGCCAGTGAGCAACCCACATGGCACAGCAAACCTCTCCTGACTCGCCCGCTGTTCCCCTCAGCAGTGTATTTTGGTCAGTCTGCCTGTTCTGTTCCCCACTCTGTCTCTGGTGAATCCTCTCATCCCCCAACCACCACCCGCACCTCTGGCCTATACCCCAGCTCTTAAGAAAAATGAATAAATAAATAAATAAATCTTTCAAAAAAGGTAATAATAATAAAATAAAATAAAGCCATGAAAGTAAGGAGAGCAGGTAAGTGGACAAAAGGGGTCAGTTATATGATGAAGAATAGAACTGAATTTTCACTGGTGAAATTAATGTGTGTATACATGTGTGGATTTTTAATGATGCACCTGAAATTTATAGAATGTTATAGGCAATATTACTTCTAAATAAATATGGAAATGTAGAAAATAAAATTATGCTAGGAAAATTATAATAAAGTCTGACAGGTGTAAATAAAATATGGAAACATAAACTAATGCAAATTTTAATGCATCCACTTTTCAGCTCCTTAATATTTTCAACTTTTATGTTGTGTAATGTTCTGGAAAAGTTGACCATTACAAAGTACATTTTAAAATATATAGAGGAGGGCCTCCCCGGTGGCGCAGCGGTTGAGCGCAGCGGTTGAGCGCTGGGTTGTGAAGCTGCCCCGGCCTCTGCGGCACCGGTTTGATCCCCGGCTGCTCCCCGGCCACCAGAGGAGGGTCCCGCATGGCGCGCAGACCTCTTCTGCCGCCCGCTGCTCCCCTCAGCAGTGTACTTCGGTCCTTCTGCCTGCTCTGCTCCCCGCTCTGGCTCTGGTGAATTCTCTCACCCTCCCGTGCTTCTGACTGTACCCAGTGCATGTATAAACAAACAAACAAACTAATAAATAAATAAATAAATAAATAAATAAAATATATAGAGGAGGCCTCCAAGGTGGCACAAGGGGTAAAGATGCAACCTTTGAAGCAGTCCGCAGCCACTGCAGCATGAGTTCCATCCCCAGCCTGCCAGGGAGCTACCCACATGGCGCAGCAGACCTCTCCTGACTCACCCGCTGCTCCCCTCAGCAGTGTACTTGGGCCTATCTGCCTGTTCTGTTCCCCACTCTGTCTCTGGTGAATCCTCTCACCTCCCACCCCACCATACACACCCCTCTGGCCTTCACCTCAGATCTTGTACCCTAAATAAATCTTATACACACACATTTTTCCTCTTGCCATGGACTCCAAATGGACTAGGCTCTGCACAGTTACTCAAAAAGTTCTAATAGTGCTTTCTACTCGTTTCACCTGTTTTTTTTTTTCCTTTCCTGACTCCTTTTGGATGGATTAAGAACCACTCTTAAGGCCTCCCCTGTGGCGCAGCGGTTGAGCGCAGGGTTGCGAAGCTGCCCGCAGCCTCTGCAGCGCCGGTTCGATCCCCGGCTGCTCCCCGGCCACCGGAGGAGGGTCCCACATGGCGCGCAGACCTCTCCTGCCACCCGCTGCTCCCCTCAGCAGTGTCCTTCGGTCCTTCTGCCTGCTCTGCTCCCCGCTCTGGCTCTGGTGAATTCTCTCACCCTCCCGCGCTTCTGACTGTACCCAGTGCATGCATAAATAAATGAATAAATAAATAAATCTTTAAAAAAAAAAAAAAAAGAACCACTCTTAGTCCCATTTCAGATCTTTCCAGCCTGAACTGATGCGGCCCAGGGTCCGTTTAGGAAAAAATGGAAAGAGATGGAAGTTCCTAGAAGGTAGAAGCTTCGAGAAGGATCCGGGGCTCTGCTACTGCCTGAAGCTAAAACCCCGCAGGACTGCCACCTGTCCGGGCTCCTCCCAGTTCCCCACTAGCCGTCCCGCTCCCCAAGCCCCCCCCCCCGCCCCCCAGTCTGTGGCTCTGCGAGTCGAGGAGGAGTACGGGCGGTTCTGGAAGCCGGGGAGGGGCCCGGGTGGGCCGCTCCTGGGCTCCCCAGAGAGCGGCGCGGCCGCGGGGCCCCTCGCTGAGGCTGGAGGAGTCCGTCGCCCCCTCGCGGCCGCGCGGCACGACTCCCGGAGCGACCTGGCTTCCCGCGACTCCCGCCCTCCTTCGCGAGGCAGCGCCAATAGGCCCCCTAACTCGACGGTCGGAACCCCAATATCCCCATCTGCCCCTCCCTGACCCTTCAGACTCCTGTACTGATCCTGCCCAGCCCCGCGCGGCATGGGGCCTCCAGCGCTCTGCAGCCGGCCGCCGCTGCATCTGCTCCTCCTGCTGTCCCTGCTGCGGCCGCCAGTAGCCGGCACCCCGAGCCCCTCAGTCATCTCCAGCGCCCCTACCACGCCGGGTATCCCCAAAGCCCCCGGTCTGCGGGAGCGAGCACGGGCCCTGATGCAGAATTTCCCCCTGGTGGAAGGGTGAGTGGGTGCGGTGTGGGGGCTAGTGGGGAGTGAGTTTATCCCTGGGCAGGGAAGCCGGTCCTAGCATAAGGGGCTAGTAAGAAGGTTCCATCACCTATGCGTGCCCTTCCATTACCCTGTTTCTGATGGAACGCCCCCCTCCAAGCTGGGCCTCGGGAGCTCTTACTGATTGTGTGACTTGGAGATTAGTGGGTGGGTCAGGACAGGCCCAAGCTATTGGCTTGTACCCCTACTCTAACCTTGTCTTGACACCTCCCACCCCTTAAGCCATAATCACCTGCCCCTGCTCCTGAGGCAGCTTTTCCAGAACAGGCTACATGCTGTTAACCTGCACAATTTCAGTCGTGGCCAGACCAGCCTGGACAAGCTTAAGGATGGCCTCGTGGGTGCCCAGGTACCACAGGATACCACAACATGGCTGCTGGGGCATGTGGGGACCTCAGAAACTCAGGTAGACAGAACTCGGGTGACTAGGCATAGGACATGCAATGTACCCTCATGTGACTGCTGGCACTGGGCCTGCCACATGGGTGCTCATGTGCTGTGGAGACACACAGAAAGTGACAGAAAATCCCTGGTGAGTGTGGGACTGCTGCAGGGAGCACAGATGCCACATTGGCCTTGGGCCATTCACATAGCACATGGGTAAATAGCAGGCGACTCTTTCCACAACCTGGCTGCTGGCACAAAGCTTAGTAGTAAACAAGGTAGTGGGATCATGCAGTGCCTCACTCCGGACCACTGATCCAAATAGGTACCTTGGGGTTGCGGAAGATTGACAGGCCAAGGGCACTGGAGACCTCCCTGATCTCATCCTAGACCCTCTGGCCTGCTCACAGTTCTGGTCAGCCTACGCCCCCTGCCAGACGCAGGACCGGGATGCCGTGCTCCTCACCCTGGAGCAGATAGACCTCATCCATCGCATGTGCGCCTCCTACCCTGAGCTGGAGCTTGTGACCTCAGTTGAAGGTCAGCAGGCGAGGAGCATGGTGCGGTGGAGAGAGTGGGAATAGTCAAGGGCTCATAGTAGTGGTGCTGGCCCTGGACCCTGACCACTTGATTACCCACCCTTTTCCAGGTCTGAAAAAAACCC